AAGGAAGTGTGGGTTTGGCCAGCGGGGATTGTGGTTCCTCTCCAAGGAATCGGTCTGCACAACTCCCCTTGTATTGGTCAGGATAAGTTGTCAACGCTGCTAACATCGGATGTTTTTGCATTGACAACAGATGGAAATGTAGCCATCTTTTACCTTTAGGGCTAGCCCAGGGGTAGGCCACCTTGGCTCTTTTATGACTCGTGGACTTCAGCTCCCAGAATTCCTGAGCCAAGCATGGCTCAGCTTGGAAACCTCTCCCTTTCCCCTCAGCGTGGCTGGCTCAGGAATTCTGGGAGTTGAAGTCCACCAGTCATAAAAGAGCAAAAGTTGCCTACCCCTGAGCTACCGGTCAGTCCTAGAGATCAACCCCGACTGCTCTTTAGAAGGCCAGATCCTGAAGTGTCCGAATGTAAATCCCCTGACCATCGGGATGCTGCAACCGTCATAAGTGTGAAAAACGGCCATCCGTCGCTTTCCTCAGTGCCCTGGTCGTTTTGAACGGTCACTAAATGAACTGTTATAAGTTAGAAGCTCTACCTGCAGTGATGTGTATATATTTATCTCGGCTAAAAGACTGTGTGGATAAAGCACAGCGAGGCAACTTGTTTACATGTCCCAACTTGTTTACCTTTTCCGAACAGTGTTGCCGTTACACTGAAATCCGCCAGTGGTAACACAACGGCCTGTACTGTCCACAAAGCAGTCTGTCCCCGAACACGATGCTAAAAGAGGGGAACACATGGCCTTTGAACTCTGGTGCTGGAGAAGACTCCTGCGAGTCCCCTGGACTACAACGGGATCAAACCGGTCAGTCCTAGAGATCAACCCCGACTGCTCTTTAGAAGGCCAGATCCTGAGGTTGAAACTCAAGGACTTTGGGCACCTAATGAGAAGGAAGGACCCACTGGAGAAGGGCCTAATGCTGGGAAAGATGGAGGGCAAGAGAAGAACGGGACGACAGAGAATGAGGGGGCTGGATGGAGTCCCTGAAGCAGGAGGCGTGAGCTTCAATGGACTCCAGAAGATGGCAGAGGACAGGAAGGCCTGGAGGAACGTGGTCCATGGGGTCGCGATGGGTCGGACACGACTTCGCAACAAGTCCACGGATAAACCTCTCTCCATGGAACCGGTCCCTTGTGCCCAAAAGGTTGGGGACCTCTGATGCTAATCCATTATAGGAAATGCTGGAATATTTCCAAATGGGAAGATGACGAAAGCTAGTTTCTTTACCCTTAACTGAATTAAGTCACTCAAGCCCCCAGAATGAACATTGGTACCAGGTAGTCTTACCATTTCCTATCCTTTTTGTAATATGCTAGAAAATGTGTATCTTCAGACTCGGAGGCTGAAGCAAAGGCTTTCAGGCGTTATTTTTACTTTTGTGATTTCCGAGTCATTATTTACTTGCTTAGCATACGTGACTCAACGTACTTTGTTAAGCTTTGACAAAGCATCTTAAATCTAACCACCTTCCCCTTAAGTGTTTGCCTCATTTCCTAAATGAGCGTTTTCATTCCGCCCTCGTTGCTCCATTGTTTATACTTGTATACAACTTATTCAAATAATCCACATAGACAATCGGGAATCCCAACAGCTTTATTGAAACAAAGTGCAGTGAAGTTTACTTCAAAGGTTGTAAGCGAAGCAGAAAGTTTAAAAACCACCCCTCAGACGCAGGACCAGGTGGAGAGTGGACTCCTTCTGGATGTTGTAGTCTGAGAGAGTGCGGCCATCTTCCAGCTGTTTGCCAGCAAAGATCAGCCTCTGTTGATCGGGAGGAATGCCTTCCTTGTCCTGGATCTTGGCCTTGACGTTCTCAATGGTGTCACTGGGTTCCACCTCCAGGGTGATGGTTTTCCCGGTCAAGGTCTTCACAAAGATCTGCATCCCACCCCTCAGACGCAGGACAAGATGGAGGGTGGACTCCTTCTGGATGTTGTAGTCGGAAA